CAGCAGCAGCAGAAGGAGGACAGGCTGCAGCAAGGGCCCTCATCCGTATGCTAGACAGGAGAAAGAGAAAAGAGATAAAGAAGCAAAAACAAATAACAAAAAGAGAAAAAGAAGGGGGGGGGAGATGAATGTGCCCTGGAGTCGGATCCTTCTGCTGCTGCAGCTAGCCGTGGTCGCTGTGCTGCTGCTGCTGCTGCTGCTGCAGCTGCTGCTGCTGCTGCTGCTGCTGCAGATGCTGCCTTCTTGCCCTAGAAATATACCAACATCTATAAAGAGCCCCAACTCTCGCTTGCTGCTGCTTGTCTTCTGCTGCAGCAACACTCACAGCAGCAGCTGCAGCAGCAGCAGCAGCAGCAAGGCTTCGATGGGTGGGGTAGCCGCGCCCGCTGCTGCTGCTGCTGCTGCTGCTGTTGGTGTTGCTGCTGCAGCTCTCAGCAGCAAACAGCAAAAAAGCCGAGAGAAATAAAATAAAAAAGAAGCGGCACAGCATGCACACCCCTTCTCTTCCCTAAAAAGAAACAAAAAAAAAGATACAACAGAACGTCTGCACGGCGATCGCAAAGAGAGAGGAGGAGCCGAGGCCAGCAGCAGCAGCAGCAGCAGCAGCAGCAGCAGCAGCAGCAGCAGCGGCAGCGGCAGCGGCAGTGGCGGCAGCAGCAGCAGCAGCAGCAGCAGCAGCAGCAGCAATAAAGAAGTTTATTCTTTTTATGCAGCAGTTCAATACAAATATATAATTAAAAAATAAAACTAAAAAACAACAAAAAATAAAAAAAACAAAAGAGAGACATTTCATCCTTGTCTGCTGCTTGTCTGTGCACTCTGGCTCGACGCCCCGATGCAGCAGCAGCAGCAGCAGCAGCAGCAGCAGCAGCAGCAGCAGCAGCAGCAGCAGCAGCAGCCGCAGCCGCATACGCAGGAGGAGGACGATACAGGGGGCCTCTTTTCTCTTTTCTTTTTATTTTTTTTTTTTTAATTTTATTTTGTTTTTATAGAAACGCAATTTGCATACAACACACAATATGCTGCTGCTGCTCTTGCTGCTGCAGCAGAGCTGATGCAGCAGCAGCAGCAGCAGCAGCAGCAGCAGCAAGGGCAACCAACGCCCGCAGCAGCAGCGGCCCCAAGCTGCTGCTGCAGTATACATGCCTTTGTCTGCACGACAGCAGCAAGCGAGCAGACAGCAGCAGCAGCAGCAGCAGCAGCAGCATTTTGCTGCTGCTCCAGCAGCATTTTGCTGCAGCAGCAGTATTTTACTGCACCAGAGCAGCAGCAGCAGCAGCAGCAGCTGCTGCTGCTGCTGCTGCTGCTGTTTCACCTCTGACCCCCGTGTAGAAGGCCAACGGGCTGCCCGGCTGCTGCAGCATTTGCTGCTGCTGCTGCTGGGGTTGCTGTTGCTGTTGCTGCTGCTGCTGTTCCTGCTGCTGCTACTGTTTCTGTTGCTGCTGCTGCTGCTGTTTCTGCTGCTGCTGCTGCTGCTGCTGCTTCCTTTGCTGCTCTGTGCAGCCTATCAGCGGCTGCGTGGGGGCTCTTCTGTGTTTGTCTATTGTATTTATTTATATATAAATAAATAAATAAATATATAAATAAATAAATAAATATATAAATAAATAAATATATAAATAAACATATAAACAAACATGTAAACATACATATATGTACTATACACAAATAGACAAAGACACACACAGGCGGGGCCTCAGCACGCCTTCGTCTGTCTTCCTATTTATTTATTTATTTATTTATTTTATTTATTTGTTTATTTATTTATTTATTTAGTTTTTTATTTATTTGTTTGTTGGTGGTGCTTGTAGAGAAAGAAAAAAAAAAAAAAAAAAAAAA